TAGGTGTGGCCTATTATGCTAATGAGTTCCTGCTGGGCGTGGCCAACTCAGGAGACAGCCGGAACTCCGTTCCTGTGCGTTCCTGCCCAAAAATAGCCCTGTCTCTCCACATACCACGTGGGAGGCAAAAAACTCCTGTGATACAAAGTCCTCATGTCATCCACCAACAAACAGAAGCCAGGGAGACATCTGATACTGGGTAATGAGTAGACAGAGGAGGGGCCGTGGCTCAGTGGGAGAGCATCTGCTCGACACCCAGAAGGTCCCAGGTTCAATCCCCAGCATCTCCAGTTGAAAGGACCGGGAAGTAGCTGATGTTGTGAAAAATCTCTCCAGCCAGCCTGAGGACACAATACTGACCTTGATGGAACAAGGTTCTGATTCAGTATAAGGCATCGTTGTCTGCTCATTTCATGCTTCGAGGTCGGTACTGTGGCTTAGTGGAAAAGCCTCTGCTTGGCATACAGAAGGTCCCAGCCTTAGTCCCCAGCATCTCCAGTTGAAAGACCAGGTCACAGGTGATGTGAAAGACCTCTGCCTGAGACCCTGGGGGAGCCGCTGTCAGTCTGAGTACTCAACACTGATCTTGATGGACCAAAGGTCTGGTTCAGTATAAGGCAGCTTCATGTGTCTGTGAGCCACCCCAAATGCCAGCAAAGGTTTTGTATAGACTTCTGTTGTGCAGCAACAGACATACTGTAAAATCCTAACAAGGTTTCAAGATTGTTCCTCAGGGGAACATCTCCTGCACAGAAACACTGCTTCTCCATTGTACCTGGTTTTGGTCATGCTGTACTTACTCAGGGCTCGCCCTCAAGCTAACCTCTTTGAGAAATGAGGAGGAAAGCACTTGGGCATCTGCTTGTTGCCATGGCAATGTGTCTGTGAATGGGGAAGGAAAGCAGGGCGCTGCCAGTCAAAACATGCCAGTGATTCAGCCTGACGGGCCACCTAGGCCGTGTTTGCATAAGGGAGGCCCTTGCTTCTGCCTCTCGGGATTCCCTAGAACAACTTTCTAATCCCTTCCCTCCCAGCTCCAATGCCAAACAGAGCACACAGGGGCTTAGATGCTCTATCGGCCCGCTCTTAGCCTGACTGCCAAGCTTTCCTGGCGGGCACAATGAACTTCTTTGGGGCGGTCAAGTCACAGCTAATTCATGGCCACCCCATAGGGTTTCCAGGGCAAGAGATGAACAGAGGTGGTTTGTCATTGCCTGCCTCTGCCTAGCAGCCCTGGACTCCGTTGGTGGTCTCCCATCCAAGTACTAACAAGGGCCCACCCTGCTTAGCTTCCGAGATCTGATGAGATCAAGCTAGCCTTGGCTATCCAGGGCTGGGCAGTGATATTCCTACTACCTATTAAAAGGTCAGCGAAACATACTCTGGAGGCCTGGGTGGGGCGTGGATAGACGCAAGGGAATACCACAGAGATCATTCCTGTGTGGACTGTTTATTGCTACGACAAATGCTTCCGCAATGAGTGTGCAACGGGGAATTGTCCCCATCCGGAGCTCCCTTAGACTGTCAGCCATTTTGATCATTTCGTTCGGACAGAAAAGCGGAATAGAAATAAACGTACAGTAGTAACACAAGAGGAATGAGACACCACCCAAACAATCATGCGGAAAACAAAGCCAGCCGATGCAGCGTTATATGCAATTTGTAAGCACGGGTTTCAGGAGCGTTAGACTGGAGTAACCATGCACGGGACAACACGCGCTGTATTGCAGCA